TCAGTTGCTTAGATTACACACACACCTACCCCATTGACTTCGAGATAGCTTGACTTAGACAATAGTAGTTAGCTCCCATTCCCTTGGGTTCGATCCTTGACTTGCCGTTATACTTGTATGAAGGTGTTTCTAGAGTTTACAAATTGTTTTGACATAGGAAAGTTAGTCCAATGACCTAGCTTCCACCTAATGTCACATTCTCAACCCACGACTTATTGTTAGCTCGTTCTTATAAAAGGCTTCCTTGTTAAGGATCTAATCCTTGTTAAGGTTTGTGCTTGCAACATCATCCACAAGTCAAGAACTCATCATGTTACTTATTAAAGTACTTTTGATGTTCTTGGCCACAATCTAACTATCTATTACATAGATTCAGGTTGATTGGTACTACATACATATTTCACATAATATAAGCAAGTAAGTCGTGCAACGATTCCATATCACAGCGTACATGATGGATTAAATTGCAGAGTAATTCTCTATCTTATTCCATCCATGTGACATTTTAGCTTAATCAGTTTCAGTGAGTCTTGTAAACTGTTTGCTGTGTGATATGGTTGAAAGTCTCTATTAGAGTCTTTCATGTCTGACTTAGTATTTAGCCTAGCTTATACTTAGTTCAAACATTTACATAGTTTTATACATACAGGTCGAAAGTCTTTCAAAGTCTTTCAATTCATGTTTAACACGGTAAAATCCTTTACACGTTCAATCATTTTATTAAGTCTATAAAATAGATTTTAATACCAATATGTACTAAGTATCGTATTTTGCTTGGTCCATTGTCGAAAATACTTTCAAAACTAAGCATTTAGCATTTGATAGTTATTTCACAATAAAATTCATAAACTTTTCGTTTGACCTTTATATAATTTACTTTTGTTCCCACTAAACTTCTTATTCATAAGAATTTCTATGTTTCTTCATAAGTTAATCTTCTTTTTAACTACATGAGAAAACATGTTCCAATTCCTATATGCAATGCTTCCATTAATCCCATGACGGATTCCTTGAGCTTGCTTTTCAATCTAGCATTTATTAAGATTTTCAAAACCCTTAGACTATTTTCATAGTCACTTCCAAAATCCTATTTTAGGGAGGTGGTTTTGGTATCTATTTTGCCATATTTCATGTGAGCAATTTTGCTAAAACAATCACGAAAAGACTTTAGCATTCTGATTGGTGAATAGGTTTTTATTAAAATCAACTCCGTGAATTTAATTGTATTCTTTTCAACCAATCTAGCTATGTATGCATATACATTTCAACATTTGTTAGTTTTCTCCTTGAAAACTTATTTGCAATCGATGGCTCTTTCACCCTTTATGCAAATTAATCAAGTTTCAAACATGATTTTTAAACATGGAGTCTTTCTCGGATTTTTTATGGCCTCTAACCATTATTCGGAATTTGAATTTGTCGTAGCTATCTTACAAGGCATTATTCCTTTACTATCTAATAGTAAATAGTATGCTTGTAAGTTTTAGGTTTATTTCTAACTTAATAGAAAATTTAGAGGATTCAACCCAAGCCTTTGGTGAATTCTATACCTATACGGGGTTATTGCATCAAACACTGAGTTTCAAGGCGCTTCCAAAGCCCTTTGATTTTCTTGATCTTACTCCAACTTTTCAAAAGTTTTGTGAGAGATGAATTCTCTTTTAAGGCACTAGTTTGTTGCTAACCTCGATTGTCATCGAGTTCATTTTCCTCCCACTTGTCGTTTTGGAAATGTGTTACTTTCCAGAAAGACACCACTTAGAGCAACAAACATTATGTTCTCCATTAGGTTGTAGAGGTAATGCCCGTGGTCTCACTTGAATGCTTACAAAGAGACATGTATATTGTCTTTGGGTAAAAGTTCATTGTAAAACAAACAGTTAGCTCCCACTTGAGCTATCTTAGCCTTTAATGAGCCATTAAGCTCCCACGCAACCACCTAGCTCTTGCTAAGCTGGTAAGCTCCCACTGAGTCACTTAGCTCCCACTGAGCCAGTGAACTCCCACTGTGGCTATGAATTTTAGACATATACTTGAAAAGACATTTAGAAGATGATTCTACCCATAACAGAATATGGCGTCCTTTCTTAGCTTCGACATTTTGTTTAGTGTAACATTAGTCCTTCGTGCAAATCTTAAGATTTTTATAGGAAGGGATGTGATCCATAATTGTTCGAGTTATTTTTAAATGACATCGAGGTCTCCGTGAAGACACACTATGTTCTTTATGGAGTTATTTATGAAAATTTCAATTTCATAACTTTGTGATGGTCATGCTTGGTTCAAGCAAATATCGCACTATCTAATCTAGACGTTTAGATATCTTGCCATGTCGATTCTGTACTTCACTGAACTCTTGAACTATTCAAAGTCAAGTTTTTTCATATTTGATGAATATATCCATATTCTTACAAATTCTTTGTGAAACGTTGAAGTAAATGAATCCTCTTTAGCTTTTGGTGCCAATTGTCTATACCAAGAACAATAGCTCTTTACTTTGTCGGTTTCAACAAGTAAGACTTTCTTGTCTTAGAATGATTCTGAATCAATCAACTATCAAGAGCCTATCTAATAGAGCCTTGAGTAGGTTCTTGTCGATGTGACATTGCTAAAGATGTTCGGAACGCAAATCATGGTTTAGACAACCATGACATTCAAATAAATTTGCAACTATTGCTCATTGCTTTGAATGTGAGTCTTTCCGTATGTAACCGGATTAATTGTTTATTATGGAACACAATAACCATTTATTTGTTCCAGCCTTAGCTTAAAGGTCTTTAAACAAAGCATATGACCTTACAACTAATGTAGCACCACTTGCTTCATTTTAAGCTTGTAAGTCGATAACTTAGCTTAGCTTCAATAGTTTGAAGTCACTTTCAAAGTGGAACACTCGAGCAGTATCCGATACTTTGTGAAGATAATGAATTTCTAAGTTAACTTCAATAACATGAATTCTTTAGTAAAATGGAATCCCATTCCTTTTCTTTGTACCTCTTTTCCTATATTTCTTATCATACTTTATCTCACCACCATGGCGCGCTGCCACGTGGCACGCTACTATTTGGCGTGCTTCCCTTGTTTTTACGTGGCTAAGGTTTTTGCTTGTTACTTGACGCATTTTCCCGTCTCGCCACTTCCTAAATTATGGCTCGACATTTGAGATTCTCCGACGCTCGGTTTCAACGTTCCAAGCTCGAATTTCCGACGTCTAAATAAATATTACTCGGTCGAATCATTAATTCCTTCCGAATTAATTTGTCGCTTCGGCTCCTTGACTTCTTCTGTGTGACCTGAAGGGTTCATTCAAGATTATGTATTAATATTAATTATGCATTAATATTACTGATCAGAACCGGCCTCCACCCAGGCATTCCGATCACTTAACCTTACTGAATATATTAGCTTTCTAATAATTCTGAACCCGCTATCAGAATAATACACTTGTTCGAAGGACACTATTCCTTTCACATCTGCCACCTTGACGCAAAGAGGTGAAATGAACTCTACCTTGCAGTCCATTTTATGTGCCTTGTTAGCATCTGTAAAAATTATGGGTACTACCACTGTCTAGGAGAAGTTGTATTTTCTTCTTCCCATGGTGTCCCTCCAACCTCATAGTTTGGAAGGAAGCAACCCTATCCATAGCCTTAACAGAGATGTGAGAACACTAAGAAACTTCCTACACTTCTACCTCAGCCACTTCATCATCTTCCTCCAACTCCTCTACTTCAATATGATATAGTTGTGGCTTCTTTCCTTTAAATTTGTTTCCTGGTTCATATTTCTCATCATACTAGAAGCACTAGTTTTTGACTCTTTTATCATTAAACTCAGCTAGGGTAAGGGTTCTCCTGTTTGTGTTTGGTGTTCTAGAAGTAGTAGCTGGGTTTGTGAAGGCTTTAGGTGTATAAGGGAAATCTGGCTAAGTGGCTTGAATGCTGGTGTGGCTGATTTCAATGTGTGGGATGGATTTGGTAGAAGGGGTGTTTGTTTTTGAGGTAGGGTAGGTTCTTTGGGTTTCTTAGCCTTACTAGCAGCCTCCTGCAACTTAGCCAAACATAGAGCTTATAAAAGGGTAGTGGGGTTGAACATTCTTACAGCAAGTTGAATGTCATCTTCCAGCCCAGCTAGGTAACAACTAAGTAAACAAGGCTCAGATAACTCTATTCTACTAGCTAATGCATTAAAAGAATCATGATATTCCTGTACACTGCCAGTTTGCTTTAGAGCTTTAAGATCTGCCATAGGGTGATCATAGATATCCCCAAACCCAGCAGTTATGTCCATATAATCTTCCCATTTGGGTAGGATTTTATTCTTTCTCTTGATGTAAGTTTGATTCCAGAGCAATAATTTATCCTCAAGGTGAATAGCAGCAAGTTTCACCCTATTTGGCTCCTTCACATTGTCCAGGTCAAAACATTGGTTACTCTTAAAAATCCATGACTTCATATCTAAGACATTGAACTTAGGAAACTCTACCTTAGTTTACCTAGCAGAGTAATGAGAGTGCTTGGGAGGGGGTTCAGAATCTTTATCATTGATTAATACAATTTCAGGGCCAGATTTATGAGTATTATTGGAGACTAATTTTGTTATTTGCACAAATAATCCCAACAATAAGTCATTAAGCTCATAAATAGACTTACAATTTTTATCAATATTCATACTATTTTGTTTACAGGCATTACCCAGTTTTTTACCCTGCTCCTGCAGTAGAGTCTTCATGGTCTTCTTTAGCTTCTTCATTTCAATATTTCCCAGATTAGCAGAATCAGAAGATGATCTTGTCATAGGTATAGTGAAGGATAGGCCGAGTAAAGAACTGCTCTGATACCAATGATACCAACTGAAAAACAAAATCTGATTTTGCTCTGCAAAATGGAGATTTGACAACTATTCCAGAAATCTAGCCAATATGAAAGTAGGGTAGTTTTGGTGGAGAAAATTGTAAGAGAATAAAATTAAGAGTTTTTGAAAGAGAAAGAGAGTAATTAGGAAATGAGGAGATGATTTCATTAATTACTTAAAGTTTTCATTTCAAGGATATGGCATTATAAAGCCTTGAAAATTGCTGATAGGCTCAGCTTACTATAGCATAACAAGTTAAAATAAAAGGACAAAAAGATAAAGACAAATTACAGCTTTCAAGTAATATTCTCCTCAATTTCAGTGCTCATTCCTTCTTCCTGGACAACTGTCCTTTCCTTCTTCTCTTCTTTTTCAGCTTCTTTCCCTTAGGAATTTTCCATCTCAACATCTTCCAAGTCAGCTCCTTTGCTGCTCAATTCTTCTAGCTCAGCCTCAGCACCATCAATTGCACCAAAGTTAAAGCTAAATTCATACCCAACAAACTGATACATCAGCAAAATTAGAAACTTAAATTAATAGTAATAATAAAACCTACAAAAAAAATCAGACTATTAAACTTGAATATTTAAGGACAGAGTCAATTAATTTTGTAATTATTGCATGACTTGAGTTCATGACAATTTTAACATGAATGTTAGATTCTGACCATGATAATCTCCGCAAGTTGATCCACTGCATTCTCACCAGGGAAAAATGGTTGTTTTGTGACAAGAAAAAAGAAGATAAGGATCAATAAGAAGAGGATCACTGAAGCAAGAAGTAGCAAGTATACACTTCATAATATACCAAAAGACTAACCTGCCTACGATGAAGTTCTTCAAGAAACTAGCAGACTAGATATCAATTGATGATGCATATTCTACAGCCCCAAATATCTATTATGGTACTCGGTAAGTTAAGCAGTAGGAGATGCATAACATATGTGATATGTCAATGTCAACCATTCAACATGTCATTCAAGCATCTGTGGTTGACCTCGGCACACTATTCATCATACCTAGATCAACAAAGGGTATTTAAGATGGAAACAAGTCCAATAATCCCACAACAAGGATATAACCATTCTCCTTTCCCAAAAACCTACTCCTCTGCTATACTCCTTAAATTTCATATGTTTGACAAAAGAGGATATAATTTAATAAAACAAAACAACAATTTGACATTGTGCGTAGCACAATTATCACACACCTAACCAAAATTAAACCACATAATATGCAACCTAATACAAATCAATCAAACCCTAGAGTTAAAGCTAGAACAGCTGGTAATGCAATCTATGATATTTCCACTCCAAGTTCATCCATCTTGAATACCATCCTATTTCACATACATCATATAATATAATCAAACCAATAAAAAAAATTAATACATAATCTCTTTTTACTTCCAATAAAATAAAATAAAAATTAAAAAAATAGTCTTAAGTTCCATGTAACAATTTTAACAGCATACCCCATATAATTTATAATATGAAATTGAAAAAAAAAATTAGTAGAAAGAAAAAATTGGAAAAATAAAGAAGGGTAAAAAAGGAAAGTGTACCTAGCATTTTTGAAGAAGATGAAGAGAGGAATTTTAGTCTTAGTGTATGGAAAGCATAATCCATCTTCCTCTACTATGGCTTTGAACAACAGAAGCTCTTAATGGGTTAAAGATGATATTTTTTTCACTCAATAGTAAATAATTCCACAAAAGTGATCGCAAATTCAACCGTAAAATTCCCATAAATTCAACAACAATACCCCAAAACTTGACCAGCAAAACCCCTAAAATTCCCACCGCTGCCTTGCCGTCGTTCAACCCCAAAACACCAACGAGTTCAACAACACTACCTTGAAAAGTTTGACCCCAAACCTACATATTCAATCAGTAATCAAAACCATTAGAATCTGAGCCAAAACCCCCTAAATTTAAGCAATTTCGAGCCAAAACCCCCTATTTTTGAGCAAAAAATCGACCAAACCCCCCCCCCCCCACAAATTCGAACTACAAAAATTGTAGAAATCGAGCAAAATTACCTTAAATTCGAGTAACTAACTACTGAAAATTTATATGATCTAAGCAAGGAGGTTGGATTTTCGTTCAAATAAGTAGCAATTGTTTCGATTAATTGAAATTTTGGGTTTGTACCCAAATTTAGGAGCTTTTCTTCATTTTTCAAGGGTTAGGGTTTACACAAGGGATGTCAAAGTTGAAAATTGGAGAAGAGTTTAATTAAAATCTTCTAGCAATTAAGGAGAGGGCTGAGTGAAGTTCATGGACAATGGAGGAGTGGTGAGTGAAGTTCAGGACAATGGAGATGAGGGCTTAGGAGAGAAAATTAGCTTTTCAATATTTTAGAAGAGAGAGAAGCTTGTAATGGGAGAGAAGCGATAACATGGGTCAAATTTAGAACTTTATTCCCTACTTTTACCAGCTGGCCTTTCAAGGTCAGTTACAAATATTTTGTCAAATTTTAGTTGACCTAGTATTTGTAGCGGGCATTTAAAAGGTCAGTTGCGAGTAAATATTTTATTTTATTAATATAGTTACTATTAGTAGCGGGCATTAAAAAGGCCAATTGCGGGTAATTTTTACTTTTTGAATCCAATTATTAGCAGCGTTCATTACTGTGTCTGTTGCTAATGACTTAGTATTTGTACATGACATTAATTAGGCCAGTTGCAAATAGTGTTTTAGTAACTAACACAAATAACGCCAATTGCTAATAGGGTGCGGATAATAGAAATTTTTCCACTAGTGTGAAGAAGAAAAGATGAACAAGATAGATCAACAAGCATTGCATAAAAGGAAATATGTCATAACAGACATTAAATCAAAGGAGAAGAACACATGAGAAGCAAGTGAAATGTTCAAGATAGATTTCCTTGTGCTAGCTGTGAATTCAATGATGAAAACAAGCCAAAAGCTTCACTGCCACTACAAATTCCTGCACTCAATTCAAGATTGTGTTGAGATTAAGAAATTGAATTGGTGCAAGTATGTGCTTCAAAGTTCGATTTCCACAGTACCTGAGTGGAAACTAAACACCAAGGGTTTTTTCAAGGGTCCACTGCCATTTTTGTTGGTATGCTTTTCTTCTTATTTTTAATTTTTTATTCATAGTTTAATGCATTTTATTCACATGTTATTCATGTTTGTTCAAAATGGTAATGCCATATGTCTAAAAAAAAATTTCCCTTATGCTCCTACGACTTATGACTTGTATTCATATGTTCAAGGATTTTTTTTATGATTGTTATAAATTTTATTGCCTTATGTTCTTTTGTTTGTTTAAAGGATTTTGTATATGTTTGTTTAACATTTTAATGCCATATGTTCATATGTTCAAAAGTTTAATGCCTTATATTCATATAAATTATGACTTATATTCAAATGGTCAAAAGTTTTGGTAATTTTGTTCAGAATTTTAATGCCTTATGTTTGTTTTATTATGTTAAAAGTTAAAAAAAATAGAATAATGTTTTGGTCTGCTTTTTTAAGTGAATCGCTAAACACCGCCCGCAAATTACCATATAAAGGCCACAAATATGACTTGGTGTGACCATTATGCCCATTTTCTAAAATTGAAATAATCTCGGTTTAAAAAATGTGGAGCCGTACTGGCTCGCCGGGGGAGACCGGAGGGCAGGCCGGAGATGCGGGGGACGCCGGAGGTACGTCGTCGTCGACGTAAAACGAGGTAAGTCACCGTTAAAATTCACGGTTTACCGTCGGAGTGGCTCTGGCGCCTAGGATGGACGCCCAAACTGTAGCCTGGACGTCCAAGCCAGACGCCAGAACCACCAGAGTGGCGTCTAGCCCAGACGCCCAGACCACCAGAGTGGCGTCCAGCCTAGACGCCCAGACCACCAGAGTGGCGTCCAGCCTAGACGCCCAGACCACCAGACTAGCGTCCTGGCCAGGCGCCACTCTACTGGCTGAGGCGGCCCTGCCAGGCGCCAGTCCAGTGGCTGTGGCAGCCCTGGCAGACGCCACCCTTATAAATTAATTTTTTTTTTCTTTTTTGATTTTGTTGTTGTTTTTTATTTATTTATTTTTTTTAAAAAAAAAATCGAAAATGATTTTTTAAAAAAATTCGAAATGGGTTTTTTTTAAATTAATTTTGAAAATTCGAAATAGATTTTTTTAAAATTAAGTTTGAAAATTCGAAATGGTATATTTTTAAATTTAGTTTGAAAATTCGAATTGGGTTTTTATAAAAATTAAGTTTGATTATACATAATTATGCTTTTTTTTTGTGTTAATTCTGTGTAAATATAGAAATTAAATGTATTATCCGTTAAATGTATTTATTGTAATATATAATTGATGCAGGATTATGGTGGAGACGGAAATGATTAGAGTGGGATATTTGGACATGATGGTCCATTCGAAGAAGCTCAACAGGCGATTGATTGGGCAAAACAGGTTGCAATTGCAGCTGGATTTTGCTTGGTAGTAGTAACTCATAAATCTCAACGGGATGGTAGAATGGATCGCATTTTGAGATGTGACCGTTATCGCAAAAGAGAAGACAGAGATTTTCGTACAGCCACTCGGTTTGATACAAAGCGGAAAGGTTGTGGGTGTGAGTTCAGAGTAAAGGTTCGACAACTACGGAGTCGTGACGGTTGGGAAGTGATTGGTTACTCTAAATGGGGGTATCACAACCATGAGATGATAGTATATGAAGAGGGTCATCGACAGCTGAGCGGCTTAAGTCCTGCTGCGAAAGTAGTTGTGAAAGAAATGAGTGATGCTCAAGTCAAGCCTGCTAAAATAATAGCATCTGTGTTAGAGAAATTTCAAGAAGACCATCCAAACCGAAGACACATCTACAACGTCAGACAGCAACTCAGGTTTGAACGGTCAGAGGGAAGGAACCCTATACAGCAGCTGCTACACCAGGCACAATCACGTGGTTACCTGTTCTGGTTTGATTCTGATGAAGATACAGCGGAGGTGACTCATCTTATCCTTGTGCATCCTGATTGTGCTGATATGATCAAGTCTTGGCCATTTGTGATTTTGATCGACTCAACGTACAAGACAAACAAGTACAAGTTCCCACTGGTTGAGATCATGGGGATGACACCAACGAACCAGAACTTTCTGATTGGTCATGCAATCATCAAGGATGAGACGGCTCCAAGTTATTATTGGGTGTTGGAGAAGCAGAGAAACTACATCGGGCCTAATGTTCATCCAGCAGCCATCGTCAGCGACTGTGAGGGAGGTCTCTTTGCCCCCATAGCAGAGCTGTTTCCAGAATCGAACCACTTATTGTGCACATGGCACATCAACAACTGCATGAAAGTGAAAGCCTACAACCTTTTCAACAAGAATTTGGAAATGGCAGAGAGATTGGTGAATGGTAAGTGGCGGAAGATCCTACAGGCTACCACAGAGGAAGCGTATGAGCGAGCATTGGCTAACTTCAGGGATTCGTACCAGTGGTGTCCGACACTGGTGGACTATGTGATGCAGCAATGGGTCCCTCACAGGGAAAAGTTTGTCAAATATTGGACAAACCAGGTACTTCATTTCGGGAACACTACAACATGTAGAGTTGAGAGCGCTCATAGAGCTACCAAGGACTAGATTGATTCATCGACCGCTGCTTTGGATACACTGTTCGATAGACTTAACAAGTCAATTGAAACTCAGAAGAACGGCATCAGGAACTCTCTAGAGGACTCCAGACGACGACATGGTACGATGTATAGCCATTTTATATTTAAGATTCTCCATGGTCGTGTGTCGCACTACTGCTTGGGGTTGATTCTCACTGAGCTGAACAGGATGAGGGACTTGGCTGACGAAGTGTATGCTCGGTGTGGGTGTGCTATTTCAGTAACTCATGGATTACCTTGCGCATGCACCATTCACCGCGTTATTACAGAAGAAAGGGCGTCGTTACATGTTGATCAGGTCCATTCATTCTGGAGGACGCTTGTTATTGGTGAGCATGCAGACACTCAAACGGCCGACCGTGAACAGGAGGAGTTGGAGCAGTTTCGTTTGATGTACGACCGAGTGTCCTCCAGCCATCCTTCTATTATTCGTGACGCTACTCATGTACTTCATGACATGTTCCACACGTTTACCTTAGATTATGAGGAACCCGAAGGAGTTGACCGTCCTCGAGGTTGACAACGGCGGAACAGGAGTGCGTTTGAGTATATCCGTGGTCTTGGTCGTGGTCGTGCTCGTGGTCGGACATCGTCATCTAGTCGTAGTCAATCTTCATCGTCTGTGAATATGCCCCTGAGAACTGGTACGTTTTGGTTGTTTACATTGCACATAGTTTTAAAGTGTTACTCCTGCCTTCTTAACTGTCTATAATTATATGGTGAATAGGAAGAAACGATGTTGATCAGTTTCCGTACAAGGAAAGGATACCTGCGATCATCATGCCGTACTTGGAAGGGTGGAATGATGTATTCGGAGATGGTAACTGCGGATTCCGGGTCGTGGCTGGTGTTTTTCAAATGGGCGAAGACAACTACGGTTTGGTGCGTCAGTTGATGTACAGCGAAATTGCCTCTAACCGAAATGTTTATCGTCATGTGTACCAGGATGACTTGGATGGCGCTCTGCGGCGTATTCGGTGGGGAGATGGACCTTGCGGCCAAAATCATTATTTTGACGCGCCCCTAGATCTGTTTGTCGTTGCAAACATTTACAAATGCGCAGTCATGCATTTCGGCCTGGGAGTGCATAGTCAAGCTTATTATCCTTGTACCACGGTTCTCCCTTGGCGGTCGCGTGACTGTCACCACACCGGTCAGAGAGCTAGCTATTGCGTTTCTTGGGTCGTCATACAGACATTTCATCCGACTAGACATGTCATCCGATTTTCCAGTGCCACCGATTATACCTCGGTGGTACAACATTCGCACAGCGAGCGTAGAGGGTTGGAATGCGCTATATCATGACCGGATCCACGAATGGAACACCCTAGCTGCATTTTAGTTTTTCATGTTTACATTCTTCCTATGTAATCTTATTTGTACGTTGCTCTTTTAATGAGAACATTAATCTTTTATATTGTATTGCTTACTGCATTCTATATGTTGCATGGGTAAGTTGCGCGGATCCACGAACGGTTATATCAAAATTTAAAAACAACAATGATAATATGTTTAAGTTGGAAGCTAAAAGAACAATCTAAAATGTTACAAACTTACAACATAATGTCCAATTTAATAAATTAAAACGATAATATTTAAAGTGCTCTATAAATAAAATGACAAAACCATCAGTAATCCCTCCTCGACGACGACTCCCACTGCGCAAGGGTCTGTTCCACTGGCCTACACTGTCGGGGTCACACGCCTCTACTATGTCGCGTGGCCTGAGCTTGTTTCCGCCGCTCTTATCCAGAAACAAGGTACATCCGAGGAGTAGAAAAACATAAGCACTCAGTTGTGCGTCGTGCGTCCTACGTGCACTGGGGTACAAACACCGCTGCAACACGGATGCGATCTTCACACCTCCGTGTTCCCAAACACCTAGCGCCTCGGTGTACAGTGCAGCCCTGTCCACCGCCAACAACTCCGCCAGCAAATCTGCCTGATCCGCATCAGCTACATCACAAAGTCGTTTACCCTCAACACGAATCCCCATAATGGCCTCGACGTCATGTAACATGATCGTCATCTCACCGAACGGAAGGTGGAAAGAGTTTGTATCCGGTTGCCATCGCTCAATGAAAGCCGTGATCAGCGTACTGTCAATCTTATCGTGCATGGTGGCAGGAACGTGATTCACCCCAGTGCCCTCCAGTCGCTCGAACATCTCGCTCTCCGCCGGCCAAGCCTCAGCCCATGTACGCAAAAAGCTACAAGTCTTTTCCCGGGTATGACATTTCAACAACCCCGTAACTGAAGGCCTCTCCTGGTCCTCCCAAATACGGGCAACTATGTGTCCTAGAAAGCTAGGAATCACACTCCCGTCAACAGGCCCACCGGGCACCTCACTCCTAACAACCCAAGAATCATTACCGACCCTCGACCGTTTCTGCTTGCCCCAGATACAGTGGACGCAGATGATGTGCCAGATCTACTAACAAACCTACCACCCCTACCCTTACGCACCTCCACCATATGTGTCTCGTACATGTCATCAACCCTCTGACTGAATGGACCGTAATCATCATACGGTCCACTGCCATCGTCCACATCCTCATCCTCATCTGCGCCCTCCTCCTGCTCCTCCTCCTGGTCACCCTCCTCAGCATCATCATCGTCATCGTCATCCTCATCCCGACGGTGGATCCGTTCTCTACGAGCTGAGGCCGAAATACCACGGGATCTGACATGTCTATGCCCTGACCTCTCCACTGAATAGCTTCTACTAAGAAGCTCTACATTCTTCCCCGCACCATGACGACCCAGTGAATTCTACACAAAATTTTAATATATATAAACATACAAAAATTTATACGAAAAATAGCTACCACTACCCAAATCAAATAAACTAAAAACATACTAACAAATTAACATAATAAAGAAATTAACAAAACACTTAAATAAAAATAATAGAATAAAAAATACACTTAGAAAGGAAATAAAACCAACATAGAAGAATATATATAAACATAAATAATTCATTCCCAATTAAAAGAAATTAACTAACCAAAAACAATATCAATAATAAAATTTAAAATAAATTAACTAACCAAAAACAATATCAAAGTCACAAAAAAAATTTAAAAACAAATCAAAATAGAGAATAAAAATAAAAATGTACAAAAAAAACAAACAAATAATTGTAAACAAAATATAAACATAGAAAAAATACAACAAAATTGAAAAAATTTATAAAAATAAACAACAAAATATAAAAACAATTCAAAAAGATATTACACAAAAAAAAAAAAAAAAAAAAAAAACAATATTTTAAAACAAATATAAAAAAAAAAAAAAAAAAGGGGGGGGGGGGGGGGGGCGCCTTGGCTGGACGCCCAGCCAGCGGTGGTGGCGCCAGCTGCAGACGCCGCCACCAGTGGGCTGGCGCCTGGGCTGGACGCCACAGCCACGGCTGCGGCGCCTTGAATAAACGCCACAACCGTGGCTATGGCGTCCAGCCCAGGCACCAGCCTACTGGTGGCGGCGTCTGCAGCTGGCGCCACCACCGCTGGCTGGGCGTCCAGCCAGGGCGCCCCACCTCCGTCACGGCGGTTTTTCCTTTTTTTTTTTTTTTTTTTTTTACAAATTGTACCTTGCCTCCTTGGGACCTCCTTCCCTCCGCCGCCGCCGCCAATTCCTTGCCTTGCCGCCTCGACATTGCCGTTGTTTGAAATTTTTTTTTTAGAGAGGTTGAAAGAAGATGAGCGATGAGAGTGTTTGTGTTTTTTTTTTAGGTCAAGGGCAATATTGTCAAACCAAGTGAATTTTGTGGGCTTTATGTAGTAATTTGTGGGCGATGTTTAACAAATCCCTTTTTTAATGGCACCGTTGTTGTATCGTGATCGAGTGCAAAAAAGAGGTATTAAGCAACCAAGGACACACCCAATCATTTTCACATGGAATAAAAATATGAATCACGAGAGAATGAAATTGGAGGGAAAGTCGCAATTTGGATACAAGGAGAGTGTCCACATAACAACCCCATTATACTCCAATACTTACAAGTGCAATTGTTGTTGAAGGTGAATTTCTCATAAGTAACTTCATGCCTTATAATGTCCTTATTTGGCCTCCAAACATAATAAAAAATAGTCTCATCATCTTCATACTTTTGCCTCTTGAAAACTTGAAATGCCTTTTTGCAAATTATTCCTTAAAAACCACATACACAGAAATAGTATAAATCTCCCTAGCGTGTATGAGCAAACTGACATTAGCTACTGCAAGATGACGGGTTACCCCTCAAAATACGTAAATATTGCTTACTTTCTATACTCCTCCACTCTAATATAACAGGAAATGTACTATAAAAGTCACTCAAACCATCTGTTTTATTCAATCTATTAGAAATAGAATGATGTGTTGTTTCACTCCTTTGGGATGACAATACTCCACCTGAAAAATAATCCCTTTAATAAGCCGAACACCATTTTTCTTTTATATCATATAGGTGATTTAACAAATCATTTTCTAAACACTTGTATTTTGTAATCATTTTATTAAAAACAAAAAACAACAGACTAATAAACAAAATGATAACATGATTGTTCCAGTTACAGCAAATAATGTTCAAAACATATAACATAATGTTCATATGCACTTGGTAAACATAAAAAGTAAGCATGTTGAAATTAAAAAATTATTAGTTCATATGTAAACAAAGGTTCGTTCATATCTTAAAGCATGAAATTCAAATATCTAACAACAAAGTTCAAAAATAAATGAATCATGTTAATTTCAGTAAAATGAAGTCCGCAAATATGTAGATGTAATAGTTCAGATTGAAAACAAAGAAAGTTCAAAATATAAACTCAATAGTTACAATCAAATTTAAGAAAGCTTACTTTGGTTAGTAATGTTCAAATTGAGCAAGGCTTTCACAGTACTTGAGCAAATAATCGAAAACTTCTGGAAACCCTTTAAATATTCTTAGTCCTCGTATATTGATCTTTGAATTCTCACCAAGGTGCCAAGTGCACAAACGGTGCCGAGTGCTTGGAAAATTTTGTCGAATTGCTACAACAATTGAAGGGGCTTGATCAGTCATTAAGGTTATGGGGTCTCGACATCCTCCCATAGATCTCATAAAAGCCTCGAACAACCATACAAAACTTCTGGTCTTTTCATCAAGAACAAAATCCATTCCAAACATGACATTATTGCAATGATGATTCATACCAATAAAAGAAGCACAAATCATTCCATATTATTTGATTCTATATATAGGTGGTATCAAAGACCATCAAATCACCAAAGGCTTCATAATCCCTTCGCATTGTTCCATCCCTCTAAAATACACTACAAAGGGAATGATTTCCATAAACCTCAAACTCATAATAAAAGTTACTCTCTTTCGCTTGTCTTGCAGCAAAAGACTTGATCAAAGCATTACAATCACCACCTTCTAATCTGCCAGCTTTTTCAGTAGCTAAAGCATTGTAAACATCAGTAATAGAGTATCATAGATTAGGAGATCCACCTACTTCTTTCCCAAAAGCATGAACAGAATCTGTAACCCTAACCCCACTAGCCTTCATAGTACTAATGAACTTCAAATGCTCACCTTGAATTATCCTTTAAGACCTAAGAAGATGTCTCTTCTAAACAGGTATCATAGCATGGTTGTGATCCATATTATGTTTAACAGCAGTCCAAACACCCTTCTCATCAATTACAAAATCAATGTAAGCTTCACAATATGTAGGGTAATCCAACTTAGAAAACTTCCTAGGCACCTTATAAGAAGTATCCTTCAAACCAGCATTTAAACATAGGTAGTTTCTGCCTCTCCAAACACTTGAATTACCAACATATCGAATTTTCCCCTTCCTAATAGTAAATCCATGCCTAAATGCATAATCACTATACATTTCATATGCCTCCGCATCACTTTTGACTTGTTTTCACTTCAATTCAGACACTTCACTTTCCTTGTAAATAAGTTCATACTTATAACCTGCAATAAACAAACACAATGCATAACAAACATTACTGTAGTTCAAAAATAAAACAAAAAAGTTCAAAAAAAGAAAATCGATGTTCATAATTATTTGTACAATTTTCTTTTTAAGAACATACATGATCAAAGGTTCAATAAAATGACAAAAAGGTTCATAAATATAATAACAATGTTCATAATAATGTTAAACTGCTAATAATACAACTTATACGAATTATACACAAATAATATTCATAAAATTAATCACAAATTAATAAAATACAATAAGAAATCAAAATCTCTTCAAAAATTTCAGAAGCTTATTAAAAATAGGTCAATAGTTTGATTAATTCATCAATTAATCAATTAAATAAATACAACTAATTAATCATAAATATTATGCAATGTTAAGAATCATATTAAACTTCAAATTTCAGAAATCAAATACAAAACACATTCAACTACAATATACGTATCTCTTTCGAATTTTTAACATAAATTGTTAAGCAAGAAATCATATAAACCGAAAGTTCAGAATCAAGAATTCAGAAACAGTTTAATAAACTAATGATCCAAATCATCAGAAATAAATAAAATACAATAAAAAAATCAAAATCTCTACAAAAATTCCAGAAGATTATTAAAAATAAGTCAATAGTTTGATTAGTTCAACAATAATAAATAGAAAATACAACTAATTAAACCTAAATATTATGCAATGTTCAGAATCGTATTAAACCTTAAATTTCAGAAAAATCAAAAATCAATATCATCAAATAACAAACCTAATAATTATACAATGAAATCAAATAAACAAAACAAAACCTAATTATTCAATGAGTTCAAATCAACTGATAAACGATAATTATCAATTCAAATAATTAGCGATAATAAACAATCACTTAAATATTATATTGAAAAAATCTAATTAACAAAAATTATAAATTAAATTAAGAAATCTAACCTCCACTATCAAGAACTACAGGAACAAAAATCAAATCCATGGCCAAGAACAACACTTCAACAATGGTGATAAGAACAATGAAAAAATGAAGAGCGAAAGTAAGGAGAGAGAAAATTGAAGAGAAAAAACTAGAGGAGAGAGAAAATCGACGAGAGAAGATTTTTGAAAGATAATGGAAAAGGAAAAATTGAGAAATTAGGAAGTAATTAAAAGAGGAAATAAACGCGGGAAGAACGCTGCAAAATAAGAAAGTTCAGCTGGGAAAAGAAGAAGCTACGTGGCAGCGAGCTATTGTATTGCACACAGAATAAGGTGCACCATGATTCACCTTATAATCGGCTCGGCTCGGCTCGGCTCGGCTTTAACATATACAATTGAAGTCAATGACATTACTCACACCAACCATATATTATGTTGTTATAGAAAATTCTTAATGACTTTATAATATAAAATATAGTTATTAGCACAACACGACACTTTATATCTGGAAATAATGATGATATTTTCATAACAATAATAAAAAATAATACACCTTAATTAAGTTAGTTCATTGAATATTATATGATTAGAAAGGTTGATGATTGACTGACCTTTGGATTTATTGTATTTTATAATTGTACTATAGTATAGTTTTGGATGAATGTATGTTATATATAACTTGCAAGTGGACAATGGACAAATCAAAACTATTTAAAACTTTCTAAATGAATTAAAAATAAAGATTATGAGCCTTACAACGTGTTGTGGAAAGGAGAATCGTTGAGGATTTTAAGGTGACCTAGACTAATATTTTCTCTATGGACATTGTGCTCTGGATCAAAATTGGTCAAATAGATGCCACAAGGCGAGCTTTCTGAATTGATAGACACCTCCAATGCTACATGATCCACATGCTCTTGATTAATAATTTCTTGTCCAAACAAGCAACTTCCTGCACCATGAATACACCAATTATCATAAAGCTTGCGAGAGAATACATTTTATTTGGTAGTACTTCATTTTGATTTCTCAATCCACCGCCTCGCTCCTTCCTTTTCTGTTGCTGCACTAAGCCTTTTGAAAGAAACTTATATACAGAACTCATGCAAACAAAATTGACAACTGAAAATGGACAACTGATCAAACCTTGCAACTTTTCTGTTGTACTAGCATATTCACCTTGATCTTTTCCAGCTATGCTTTTTGGCCCATTATGCATCTCAGTTTCGAAGCTAGTGATGGTAGTTTAGCAGGCGTTGCCAATTCAGGCGGCAAGGCATCTAAATTCCTTGCATCAGTCTTCATTATGTCACTTGAATTTACTGTGTATGTTGATTAAGAGCATGAGACGAAAGACAAGAAGAGCTGAATGATCGTTTTATATAGAATACAGCTGAATGCAACTGGCCTGTATTTTCTTGATCATCTTTACAAAGCATTAGAAGAATTATAGGTACTCGTTTTGTTAAGAGGAGTGCAAGATACTTCTATTGTTCCTGCATCATTGTCCAACAAAAGATCCTGATGCTTGAGAAAAATACTCAAAATTCTTCTTTATTAAACCAACAGACATAGCTACATAGATTACAGGAAAATTTCAGAAAATAAGTTATAGCCTTCTTAAATGAAGACAATAAGATTATGAAGAGAACAAGAGAACAATAAATCCAGCAGAACAAAAGCATTGGGAATGAGCAAAGTGATTATAATGCATAAAAGGGTACCACTCAAAATGGATCAGAACATATCAGAACATAATGCGTAAAAGGGTACTACACAAAGTCAATTGTTTGCGAATCACGGAACTGATCAACATAAGAATATTCCCAACTATGTGCATTCATCTATGGTCCATTCATCTATATTCCCTTTTTTATCTAAGTTATCATTAGGTTTAACTAAAGAAAGATATACCTTGTACCACACACTGCATAAAATTCATAGAGCCCATGTACATCCAAAAGGGGAAGTATTTTTAAAACCAAAAGCATGTCTCGGAGAAACGGGTGTCAACAGCATAAAGCATAATCCAAGCATTTAAGGAAAAGACAAGGAACACAGACTACAATGATTAAATGCAGAGGCATTAAAATTTTTTTATAGACATCACGGCAAGTCAATATCAATATCACAGAGATTTAATTACAGATCAAAGAGTCAAGAGTCAGATACAAAGATGTGTTGAGAAATTTCAAAATTTTCAACATGGACTCAATAGACAGTTAAAATTCCAGTGGATGTTAATTAAAGATGCATTAAGTAAACAAAAATATGTCAACATCAAGTGTGGTTGTTATTTAATTTAGCAGTCTCTGAATTCTAACTTCACATACTCCAATAAAATAATAGCAAAAATTAAGATGAAATCAGATCAATAACACAATATACAGGGAGAACAGAGCGCCAAATCACTTATGCTCAAAGATTAGATATCATTACACATGTTACATCTATATACTAGACAAACACACATTTATAAGCTTACAACTAGCAAAGACTAGGCTTTTCAAGCATACTATTCCCTGCCGTAATTCACTAGATTAGCTCTAGAAAATTTAGACTATAACAAGCACATTCACAACAATAAGTACTTAATGTCAGATCACAAAATTATCCTTTCCAACAAACCTCAGCACCACGAGTTATATGACTTTGATCAATCTGCTTGCATTACTTACACTAACAAATAATTTGGGGCCAAATGGGGTAATTTAACACTTCCGTAAACAATTGAACCAACATTCAAATTTCTATAGTATAAACATGCTTCGTGCTCAAGCACTATTCTTCTTTTTATCAAATTATAAAATGGATTTTGTCACAAAATATATATATAAAATAAATTATAAATTGGATATATAGATAATACATATAATGTTAAAGTTCTTCCTTCAACTTAGTTTTTTAGCAGCTAAATAAGTTAAATACCACTGTGTTACCCCAATTAAATATTCCCAGATGACCACATAAGTTAATATTTTTTATTTTTTATTTTTTTAAATTCCTAAATACATAGTACACTGCCTCATATAGAGTAGTAACCACCAGAAACACAAAAAGGTTCATAGCAGAAACATAGCCAAACACCCAACAAAGGGAACAATGTAACTAATGCAAACACAATAGAAGCAACTTCATAATATACTGAAGTTGCCTGTAATTATACGACATCCTGTAACAAAATAGAAGCAATTTGGTTACCCATCAACACTCTTGAAGTCCTGATTAATCATCAATAAGCACAAACCTTTGAAGAAATTAAGCAATGAAATAAACAAATAACCTACTTGACAATAAAGATGTTACCTTTAAGCAAATCATCACACCAGATTAGCACAAACCTTTTCGGAGTAGTACAACAACATGATCACCAATAATTCAACTGCCAAGAAGCAACCACAAATAAACAGAAAAATTCGAACAAATACCCAACCATTGGTATCAACTATTTGTATCAACTAGTTAATCAAATTAGTCACTAAGCAATAATAATAAATAATTTAATCTATAATCAATAATTTAATCAACATCAAGTCTAACTACTTCAAATTTGTTACATAGAAATTTATACATTTACCCAAATTATCTAGGTTTGTGGATCATTTTTGGTGATAATCATTAGTATTTCACAGCGACAGCTAGATTGTCCGAAAATTTGCAAAATATTATGCGACAAGAAACAACAATAATTTTGAACCAGTCAAATCGGCAAACCTTTGAGACGATATTGGGAAACAAAATCAACAATAATTCAACAAAGAATCTCCAGAAAAAACAAAATAAATACCTCTTAATCAAGCTGTCCCGGACAAGACCAATAGAAGGAAGAACCTTCTCATCATACTCCAATCTGATGACGGACCCTAAGAGTCTGAAAAATATGAGGAAGACGATGTTGATCAGGGCAAGAAAAAACCCTAATAGTAAGATTCACTATATGAAGATCCTTATTACCAGAAATTGATGAAAAATTGTGAGGTCGAGTACGAATATCGAAGGTGTAAGGCTTCAGAAGCCATGGAATTCGGACATGAATACCTTCGCCGACAGTTTCATCGAGAACTCCGCAAAAACGGTCGAAGATGATGGCCTTTTCGCCGCTGTCGACGGTGTAGAGGGAGTAAGGCTTTATTTGGTTCTATATTAGTAAAGGAAAAGAAGAGAAAGGATGGGAAGGGAAAAGAAAGGAAAAGAAGGGAAAGAAAGGTGATTTTATTTTCCAATATTTGGTTGAAGAAAGGAAATGAAGGGAAGAGAAAGGAAATTACTTTTATTTTTCTCTTTCCAGTCAAATTCCTCCAATTTTGGGAGGAAAAGAAAGCCAAAATTTTGTTAAGAGACTTTCCTCTCACTTCCCTTCCTTTCCTTTAGATTTTTATGTCATTTATTCAACCAAACATGGGAATATGATTAAAACAATTTCCTTTCTTTTCTTTTCCATCCAAATCCCTTCAACCAGAAAGGGCCTAATAGTCCTTCAGACATTCTAAAGACTCTAACAAACAAGAGAATAAAGGAATTAGGGGGTGTTTGGAAAGTGGGAATTGAGGGTGGGATTGAGAATTTTAATCCCAATTGAACAAATAAGCCTTGTTTGTTTGGTGGGAATGGGAATAAAAAAAGGGTTTGGGAATGGGATTATTTAGAGGTGAATTCCCACCATTTTATTACCTAGGGAGGGTAGGTAATAAATGGATAGGAATGGGAATAGGGGGAAAATGACATTTTTACCATTAATGAAAAGAATGAAATAATAATCTTAGTAAGGGTATTTTGGTAAAATTGTTATTTATTCCCTATATATTCCCACCCACCATCAAAACAAGTTATTGGCATATTTTCATGTATTCCCATCAATTAATTCCCAATCCCAATCCCATTCCCACCTTTTAATCCCTAAACTCCCATTCCCATAATCCAAACGCCCCGTTAGGTTGGTGAAATGGAGGAGATTGAGTCGTAGAAGTGAGAGATTGAGTTAGCAAAATGAGAGAGGAAAGAGGAAAGAATGGAGGATATGAGTGTTTGACGGCTGACTAGGAGTGTGAAACCCTAATAATTAGAAATGGGCTCCTCTTTCCAGCTGGGCCAAATATTCTTAACGGGCACATGGTGTCATATTTTTCGTAACGGACACCATGTGCCCGTTACGAATAAATATTTATTCGTAACGGACAATATTTTGCTCGTTACAAATAATATAGTATCGTAACGGATACATAGTGCCCGTTACAAATACTATATTATTTGTAACGAACAATATTTTGCCCGTTACGAATGTATTTAATGTAACGGCATAGCTTTGCCCGTTACAAATAACCCGTTACAAATGAAACTTTTTCCACTAGTGTTTGAATTTCTATAATAAATATTACCCCGCATAGAGGACAACTTTGTTGAGGAGTTCAATCCTAAATTTTGCCCAAGAAGTTGATGAGTGTTTATATGAAGCTTGGGAAAGACTTAAGGATTTACAGAGAGGATTCCCCCAACATGGGCTAGCATAGTGGCAGATAATCCAAGCTTTCTACAATGGGCCTGGATATAATCAAAGAATATATCAAGCAATGTTGTCGAAGAGATGGCTATTCATAAGTTTTAATGTGGGAATCCAAGAGGATTTGCTAATAAAGGAAAATACTAAGTAGATTCTATATCCTTTCTACAAGCATAATTGACCTATATTAGCCAGAAACTAGACAATATTAATATTCTAATTCATCTTCAGGTGCTAATGTTTTTGCTATTGGTACTGTTTTGGGTAAAAATACCCTATCCATGTGGAATAATCAGATAGGGACACGTGTCAAGCCTTGGCAAGTCCATTTGGGCCAATTTCCATCTTACACGTGTCAACCTCAGATACTTACTAGAATTGCGGCCTTTAAGGCCCAACTCCCAAGAAAATCGTAAAACGGCGCAGCCCACTAAATCTAGGTCAAGTGACCTAAGAGAGGGCACATTCCCCTATGACCCTATAAATAGGGAGATATCACCCAACTTTGGGGGACATTCAATAATTTATTACACCTACCCTACACTCTCTTATCACCCGGAGTCTCCGTTATTTTGCAGGTACACATGAAGTCGAATCAGTCTCTGAGTTGTAACTCCCCCGAGGGACAAAAACACCAAAACATTTGGCGTTGTCTATGGGGAGGGTACCTCAAGGATGGTTCAAGAGTCTGTACCGGCTCCTGACCCTAAGGTTCATCAACCGGAGGTCTTTACAGACTAGGAGGAAGATGATCCCCAGGTCAAAACATAGATGGCTAGAGATGGGTCACTCATCTCTAGGCGCATCCATCCCAGAGATACTCTAGAACGAGGTAAAACTCAGACGGGTACAAGCAGGCCCCCTAGTCAGCCGGAAGTGGAAACCTAGTCGGCAAGAGGTTAGGCTCCAGTCACCAGAGACAAGCTCATGAAATTCATGACCAGTTTCAAAGGTAAGATCAAGGACATAATAAAAAAGAAAACGGCTGCTAAAGAAAGGGTCATCCGGCCAAAAAGTCTCCTCGAACTGCGAGGAAGAAGTCAGTCAAGGAAAGGCAACCTACTTTACACCCCAATGACAAGACTGCACCTGCCATTGACTGGTCGAAGATCCTTCTTCCCCAGACGGGCACAAGGAAGGTCATATGTGCTATTGAGCCGGATGGCACCAAGAAGACTTACACTGACGCTTGACATGTCATCGAGCAAAATCAGAGCCAGCAGTTGTCTAATTCAATCTCTGCCTCGACCTTTCCAGACAGCTTCAAGAATACATCTGCAAGGAATTCTCAATCCTTCCATGAGATCCATACAGGCGGTAATACCGTCCTTTTTGGACCTCAGATGATTGATAATGCACTGTACGTACCCCTATGGTCTACTGTCCCTATTATCCTCATTTCATGCAACTGGCCCTCTTTGGGGGTTAGGTAGCATATAACGTCCAACCTTTGGACTGGCAGCTCTGTCTGCTCAAACTTGGTGAACAAACTTTTGCGTTCACCAAGGTAGCATATAACATCCAACCTTTGGACTCGCAGCACCGTCTGCTCAAACTTGTTGAACAAACTTCTGCGTTCACCAAGGAGATAACCGAGGCGGCACAGCCGACCAAGGTTATGAATGTGTTGGTAAGTGCCTATAACGGTTAGGCGGTTGAACCCGGTGAGAATCCAAATTGAGGGGCTGTCTGACGAGGTAGCCTATACAGACTTCTTCAAGGATCTGAAGAACGCGTCAACCTTTAAGTTTGACCTTGTCTAAAAGAGGGTCTTCACCCTTCAAGAGGTGGAGAGCTTTATTCAAGCCATCGACCTCTGTTTGTCTAGCTATCAGTCGGATTCCACAAATTCTGACAAGAAAATGGAGAGTCGGCCAGCTCAACGAGCATAGAAATTAGAAGAGAGCAAAAAGAGAAAAGAAGTTTAGGCGGTTGAGGAACCTGACCAGCCGTCCAAAAAGAAAAAGCAAGAATTTAAACCGTATTTCTGACGGTATGAATTCAATAAAGACTGTTATACCTTCTTTATAGAGAGATGAAAGATCGGCTGACCATTGAGAAGACGAATCTTATGAAGATCGAGTTCCGTTCAGTCGCGGAACAAGAATAAATACTGTCATTTCCACAAGAAAGTAGGCCATGACACCAACGACTACTATAGTCTTAAGTGGACGTTGGATCTTTTGGAAGACAAGGGCTTGCTGAAGTGATGAGTGTCATTTATGGCACTCATTAGGTTCTTTTTAGGATGAATTTAATGCTATTCTATAGCACTTTTACTTAGCTTTTCCTTGATTTTACTTCTTATTTCTTTTAGTTTGCATTTTCTTAGTTGGATTTCTTTCTTTATGCATTTATAGGTTTATTTTGTTATTTTCTCTTGTATTTTCTTGTTTTCCTTTATTTTTCAGGTTAAGGTCGTAATCCAAGTTTCCCGAGGCCTCTTCCCAAGTTCAGCATTGATTAGGATGTCTAGTGTTCTCCATTTGAAGCTCAAGCATGGAGAAGTGCAAGTTCCTGAAGTCCTTGAATTGTGCATACAAGCCGTGGGAGCATGATTTCTAGTCTTGAACCCGCAAACATGGAGTTTAGGAACTGCATGGTCCCGTGTTTATTAAGAGTATTAAGTGGAACGCACAAGGAGCATCAAAATAATAGGGAAGAAGGCTCTTCTACTCCCAAGCGTGGGCGCGCGCGACCATGGCGCGGCCTGGTGGCGCGGGCGCGCCTGTCTGGGTCCCTGTTCCGTACCCAGTTTTGCGCGGCCACGCTCCCCCTTATGGCTGGTCGCGCCTGTATGGGTTTATTTGGGGATGATCTAACTAAATTCTCTTAGTTAGTTTTACTATATATAGATTTTAATTCTATTTTAAGGGAGAGGATCAAGAGAGAGGAATTAGAGTTCAATTTTTCAAAAATTAGAATAGAAATTAGGATAGAATTTTAGAGAGAGAAACTCTAGATTGTAGTGAAAGAAGTTCTTGATTGTTGATTGATCATTGAAGATTGTTAAATTCTAGCATTTCCTCCATTGAATTGAAGCAAGTTTGTAAGGATTTCTTTTACTTTAATGCAATTTTTAGCTTATCATTTCAATTGCTTTGTTGATTGTTCAAGTTTGAATTGAATTTGTGATTGAATTAGTTCTATTGATATGATGGTGATGAAATTGTTGATTAGCTTAGTTTTGAACTTAATTTCAATGGATTGTGAGTAGTTCTCTTGCTAGGGGAATGGTGAAGCATGTATGACTGATAGATTGATGCTAATTGGGGGAAACGGATGGAGTTGATGTTGTGATTAAACCGGTTGATTGATTAAGTGCATGTGTGTGATTAATTGAAATGTAGCTAACTTTGATTTCTTACACTAGAATGCATTGTAAGCTTGCATTGATACGGAAAATTGATTTGTGGCTTGCTTTTGTCGATTGAGTAGGTTTGCAAGGTTCCTAGTTAGAGTGTCTCGTAGTTGGTGCTAGCTTGAACTCTAGGAGATTAGCTTACCTTACTCTCTTGATTGCTTAGTTGATTTTCCTAGCAATACTTGACTTAGTCATCTCCAATCCCAATTAGCTATATCCATTCCGAGTTCATGCGGATCCTAACCCAAGTGCTTGTTAAATTTGATTTCAATTTGATTGTTTTGAATACACACACCACACTTTATTGCTTGGAAATAGCTTAGCTTTGACTTTAGCATTAATTTATCATCCCTAGTGGTTTGACCCTAGACTTACTCTATGCTTTGTATAGGGGTGTGTTGAGAGATTATAAAATTTGTTTTGACCAAGGGTAGATTAGTTTTCAACGACCCAGTCTTGCCTTAGGGTAAAAAATGGCGCCGTTGCCGGGGAATGGCGTAGATGATTGCTATTGTTGTTGAGTCTATTTCACCTTAATCTCAAAAATACAAAAATATTTTTCTCTTTAGGCTACATTTGTAGCTGTGCTATTGATACGTGATTTGAGTTTTTGTATGCGTAGGATAAGAGGAAGGGCTTTAGTGCCATTTGATCCGGAAATCGAGAGAACAATAACAAGGATAAGGGTTGCTAATCGTTCTTTGAGTCCAAGATCTCCAAGAGACGAAATTCACCAAGAAAGAGAAGAAGAGGATCAAGTAAGCATGGAAGATAATCCAAGATTTTCTTTAAAGGAGTTGGGAACTCACGGTGTATATAGGTTTGAAAGTGGGATTGCATTGCCAACAACATCGGCAAATGACTTTGAAATAAGACCGGTCATGATCACTTTGATTGAAAGGAGACAATTTAGTGGGGCTAAGATAGAGAGTCCGCTAAACCATATCTAAGAGTCTGAGAAGTATTGCAACACTATTAAAGTGAATGGTGTTTCTCAAGAGTTCATTTGACTCAAGTTGTTCCCCTTCTCTCTCATAGGTCGAGCTTTATAATGGTTGGACAAAGAGGTCAAGCCAAATTCTCTTAGAACATGGGATGAAGTTACCAAGGAATTCTTGTCTAGGTTTTACCCCCAAAAGAAAACGACGGAGGCAAGGGCTTTGATCCAAAGTTTCAAGCAAAAACCTAGTGAGAGCTAGTATAAAGCTTGGAAAAGGTATAAGGAGTATCAAATAGAATTTACCCATCATGGAATCCCAATCTATCAAATCATTCAAATTTTCTATGGAGGTTTGAGTCCTCAAGGAAAATCGTGTCTTAATGCGGGAGCCGGAGGCCCAATCATGAACAAAACCGAAGAAGAGATTGTGGACATTATAGAAGATGTGGCGCGCCATTACATGGATTGGTAAGAAGGAGAAAGAGAGTCTTCAATCAAAAATGGATCAACAGTTATTTGGTTGATCACCTTAACGCCATCAACAATCTATCCACTCAAATTGCAAGTTTGGGGAAGGAGATGAAAACAATCAAGGACAAGCTTGATATGCAACTTCCAATGCACAAGGTCATCCCTCCCACATTAAAGGGAGAAGTTTATCTTCTAACTCTACTCCTCTTTCTACTTCTAACAATATGCCCAATGGATGCTTGTGTTTGTGATAATTGTGGGTCTTATGACCATGATGCTTCTACTTGTTCAAATGGGTTTCAAAATCCTGATGATGGTGAGAGTAATGAATGTGAACATGTGAATTTTGTCTCATACAATAACAATGGTCAAAGGTTTGATGGACCAAGAAACTTTGGAAATAGAAGTTCTCACCAACAAGGTGGATATGATAACTATAAGAATGGTAATTATAGGAACCAAGGAAACCAAATTTCCGAGGCAACTATAATAACCAAGGTTATGGCAATCAAAACCAAGGCCAAGGTTATGGAAATCAAAGCCAATCTCAAGGCTTTGGTGGCCAAAAAAAAATTTTTGACAACAATCAAAATCGAGGCAATTGGAACAATCAAAATAAGGGGAATTTTCAAAACAATCAAAGGGGACCCCCACCCGGATTTGGTCCAAAATCTCAAGATGTTGGTGAAAATTCCTATTCTCAATCGTCTAAGTCTAAATTGGAGGAGATAATTGAAAATCAAACAAAAATCTTGAATACCTATATGGCGGTGAGCGATAAGAAATTTAATGAGATCATGACACATAAAAAAATGCTTGAGACACAAATCACCCAACTAGAAAACACTTTCAAAGATTGTGCTAGTCATTCTTCATTGCCTTCTCAAGGAGTTGATCCAAAGAAACCCGTTTATTCAATCATCACAAGGAGTGGAAGAGTTCTTGAAGAGAGAGTTTCTAGGGATTGTGAGGAGGATAAGAAGAAGATTGTTTCAAGTGAGCAAAAAGAGAAAGATGTGTCAAGAGATGTGAGCAAAGAAGAGAGCCATGAGAAAAATAAGAGTGATGAGGGAAAGCAAGAGGAAGTGAGAAAACCCGACCTTCCATATCCCCAAAAGTTTATGGGGAACAAACTAGATGAATAATTTGGGAGATTTCTCGAAATGTTGAAGGAAGTCCATCTTTCTATCCCTCTTACCGAAGCCATGACCCAAATGCCTAGATATTCCAAGTTCCTTAAGGATATCTTGAGTGGCAAGAGAGATTGTAATGAGATAAATTTGGTGGAACTTGGTGAGTGTTGTAGTGCTTTGATTCACAATGAGCTGCCCAATAAGATGAAAGATCTGGGTAATTTCTCCATTCCTTGCAAAATCAAGAGTAAGATGTTTGAGAATGCTTTATGTGATTTGGGTGCTAGTGTAAGCATAATACCCTTCTTGGTCTTCAAGAAGCTAAATTTAGGAGAACTTTGTCCTTTCAACATGACTTTGCAATTGGCCGATAGGTCCATTAAGTTTCTTAAGGAAAGAGTTGAGGATGTTCCCCTAAAGATTGCAGTTTATTAGTCCATGCCTTTTATGATTAAGGACGGCTTTTACTCAAACACTTGCCATTATTCACAAAGAAGACTTAATCACAAACTAGCACTCATAAAAACCAAATTTCCAACTTATCCACCACAAACTCCATCATACGTGATCAATTTGCTTCACAAAAAACCAAGAATAGAAAGAAAATGAAACGAAAGGCCAAAAAACTATAGATGTGGCTTGAAAAGAAGGTATAAGGCTCAAATGGTTGCAAGAAGGCAAATGGAAACCCAAAAACAAATATGAATCAAACTAACCTAAAAATGAAAAATACCACCCCGAAAAAGGTGCCTTTGTCCTCCCTAGATAGCTCGGTCTCGGGTTTAAGAATCATACATCAAGCTTTATAGATTAGGTTTGCAAAGTCAAGGACCCCATGCCGCTCATGAAAGAATATGATGGAAGCTTGAACAAATATAAATCTCACATGGTTGTATCAAAAACTCACTATGGTTGTCAAATTGAAGATAGGGACCAACTACCAACATGCCACAAACAAGTAGAATCCGGTTTCATGATCCCCCTAGTTCTAGACAACTACCTTAGCATGCTTTATCCTAGAATCAACAAACGTATCTCAAACCGTGCACACCACTACCATTTAGGAAGAAAAGCATTCAAGTATACAAGTCCAAATGTTATTATGTCCAAAGCAAGAACAAAACAAAACACATTGCAAATTTGCCTTGTTAGAAACAAAAATCTTTTTGGAGTTTTCAAAATAAAAGAACATTGAAAAGCATATACAAAGGTGCATGACATATATGAATCAACATCCCACCAAACATGATAGAATACCCTCCCCCAAGCTTGAATGAGACAACATGCTCAATCATAAGGCATAGAAACCATGGGAGGGGAAACAAGGAGATCAATCCAACAAACCAACATATGTCCAACAAGTCATCATCCACTAGAGAAAGAGCAAGGAAGGATATTACCGGATATTAGGTGGGTGTAAATACCCGCAAATGACCCAATTTTAACCTTTCAAAGCTAACAACCTCTAATATTGAATCTTGCCTTCTATATGCTAGCAAATGTGGTGCCAATCTTCCTTGATTCTTGATCCAAATAGAAGCACCAAAGTATGTCAAGTCATGTACCTAGCAAAAGGAACACAAACATTTACATGAGAGAAAATCTATTCTAAAAAGAAAAGAAAATGAAAGCAATAAAACACGGGTTACTTCCCGAAAAAGGCTTGCTTAAGGTCCAAGCTTGACCGCTCTAGAAAATAATAATTCAACGCGCGCAAGAGCTTGTCAAATGCACTACTACACATTTCATAGGAGAGAAGGTAGGCAAATGACGCGATGCACAAGGATAGTGCACGCAAATGAGGAGAGAGATGCCAAGAAAAGGAAGAGGAAGAATCAAAAGAAAATTCAACAAAATATGAAGAAAAAGAAAAAGAAGGCAAACTCACCTCAAAATATTTTTGGGTGGCAACGTCACCCTTTTCCTCAATTGGGGACAAATGAGCTTAATACAAATCATCATAGACAAAAGGGTCCCCAATAGGCTCATTGAAAAAAGAAGGGAGGGAAATAGGAGTGTAAGGGATATGGCTAAATCTTCTTGAAAAAGGGGTATGAGAAAAGAGAAAAGGGGTTATGGTCTCACAAATTAACTTTTTCTCACCACCATGCCTCAAATCACCAATAAGAGCATGGAAATCAATCATAGAGTCCTCAAAAGAAGAACACTCATGATATCCATCTCCCTCAAACATCCAACCTCCAAGAGGAACAACATAATCCCCTCTATAACAACTATGAACAACAACTCCCTCAACAACTTTAAAGCCCAAGGTCTCAAAACCATGCATGAATGGATGCAAATTCATTTCAAACTCATCTCTCTCCCATGAAGCATCCTGAATGAACTCATTTAAAAGGATATGGGTTTTCTTTTGACTCTCAAAGAATGCATTGGACATAACCTCAAACGAGTCTAGATACTCATGGATAGAAGAATCACAATCATACACAAGAGACTCATTAAGATGGGAAGGAGGGTTAGGATAATCAAATTCAACACTCTCTTGGTTTTCAACTCCTTCGCCATCACTAACATGCTCACCAAAAGGATCCTGACCCTCTCTTGGTTGTTCAAAATCATCATCTTCATCCTCAACACACACATTGGATAGGGATTTTTCACATACAAGCATCAAGGATGACAATTCATTTTCCAACTCTTCTCCTCTTCTCTTTTCCTCCTCAATACGCTCCTCATTCTTTTTCATTATCTCTAATTGACCTCTCATAGAATTAAGAATCATCTCCTTACTAGGCCCAAACTCATTATCAAGCTCAATGCGCTTAGTTTGAGACTCAAATGTATCAACAAGAGATTCAAAAGATGTAGAAGGTTGAGGCTCAACAAGAGAAGAAGAAGACAACCAATATTGGAAGAATCAACATTAAGATCATGAGCATATACATCACATTGGGGAGTGGGGCCACAATTTATAACATGAGATTCATCATTAAGGGAATGAAGACATCACAAGAAGGCATGGTAAATAATGAAGAATATTGAAACACACCATTAGCATCAACTTGAGCTCACACTTCATTATCATGAACAAAAGGAGAAATAAAGTTGAAATCATGTGTTCTAGGTTCACTTAAGGGATCATGTGACAAATCATGGGAATTCATGCTAATATTAGAAGAATCAAGACATTGCATATCAATATTAGACTCATGATTACCCCTATCATTAACATCCCTAGCAAACCAAACATAAAAATCCCAAGCATCATCAATTGACAATGCTCTAAATTCACCATTATGCATGCATTCAACTTCATCCCTAGTTTTCTCATTCAAACCAAAATAGCAAATCTCACAAGCCTCCCAAGGACTACAACAATTATAGTCCAAAAATCCCTCAAGTCTATTGAAATATTCACAAAAAGGCTCATTGTCAAATTGAGGAAATGATAGACATGCCATTTTTTTTTTTCACAAAACAAACAAAAATCAAATAAAAGTAAAAATATACACAAAGACCTAGACTCAAGCAATAAAAAACACTCAAACATAGACACCGTTCCTGGCAACGACGCCATTTTGACGAGGGGAAAACTAGGTCGTTATCTAATCTTCCCTCGGCCAAACTAAATTTATAAACAATTAACAAACCTAAATACGAGTATAAAGGCAAGTCAAGGGTCGAACCCAAAGGAACGGTAATGTTCAAGCACTTTCAATTATGCACCTAAGCTAGGTCAAAGACGAAGGTAATAGAGAATACTAACAACTAACAAAACAAGTAACCAAGGAAATAAAACACTAGGAACGGGGATCAACAAGTAATCATGTCAATTGCAAAAACTTGGGAAGAGCATGCCAATCAAAGGTTGTGAGGACTAAATGATAAGAGCAATCAATAGGAATCAAAGAGCTATCTCCTAATTGTTAAGCTAGGGTTCACTATGAATAACAAACTAAGAGAATCACAATAAAAACCAATTGATAATTGCAATTCCTAAATCAATTGTTCATGTCATTAGAAATTACAATGCAATCTAGCATAATTCTGAAGGCCAAATTGAATTACACACATGCAAACCTTCACTAATCACTTTAATCTCAACAATCAATCAACACAATTCCCAAATTAATCACAATTAATCAATCATACAAGTTTCACCCAATTCCTAGCCAAACAACTATTCAAGAATCATCATCTATCAACTACAACTATGGAAATCAAGAATCAACAAAATACCAAGAACAATTACACTAGTCAAGCATCAAACATCAAAATTAAACCAAACAAACATCAAATTAAACAAAGCAATTGAATGAGATAGAGTTTATAAATGCTCATTGATAATTAAGAAGATCTCCAACACAATTGTTACACTTGCATCTTCAATCTCTCAATCACCATTGAAATTCCTCACTTTCTCTCTCTAAAACTACTCCTAATCTAGCCTAATCTAGAGAGAGAAGCTCTCAACCTAAGAGAGAGAAAACTATTCTAAAACTAAAGAATTACATGAATGAATAATAAAGGAAACCAAAAAAACTATATAAACAAAAGGAGTAAAGAATCTTAAAATCGTAAAAGACCCAGAAACCCGAGCCCGCGGAGAAATCGGCCGCGCCCGTGGAGGGGAACGGACACCACGATAGCCGCGCCCGCGGGGCCAAGGCCCGCGCCCTTGGGGAGCCCTCGGGACAACCGCGGGTGCTTACTGCCCAAATACGGCAGTTTTGGAGCTGCAGCAACCCCGCGCCCGCGGGTACTGTAGCCCGCGCCCGCGGCAGTTTCCCAAGGCCAACTTCAGAAGGCTGTAACTTCCAATCTAAGAATTGTATGAAGGCGTGCGACCTATCATTGAAAATCTCTCCAAGTCTAGTTTCCAACCCAACTTGAATCACCCTAATCCAATCTGTAGAACTTGATATATGACTGAAACAATGCACAAAGGTCCTATTTGATACTTTGCAATCCTTCGTTTTCCTTTGTTTCAAACTCAAATTCAATTCCGAAAAGTGCATGTTGATCCTAGTGGGTGCTATTTTCAATTCCCATTCATATAGCCCGCGACGTACCTACAAAACAAGACAAAGAAATGGAGAAACAAGAGAAATAGCCGAGAAATGAATAAAATGATAAGAAAGCCATTAAAAGCATGCATTTCTCTAAACTAACACAAAAACACGCGAATCGAGCATTATTCTCTAAAAAAACGACATAAAAGACTACCAAGGAGCATAGAAATATAAAGAAAACATAGCCTAAAGGTGCCATAAATGGCACGGATCAAGAAATAAAAAATAAAAAAACAGGTCATGAAATCTTGTAGTCGAAGCTCGCCTTGTATCTTTTGCTTTATCATCACCAGTCTTCTTGCTAGCTAGATGCAAAGGGATCTTGTTTGATTCTATGAGATCTTGAATGAGATTTTAAAATCTGTAGCATTCATTTGTGGTATGACCATTTCCTCGATG